GAGAGAGAGAGAGAGAGAGAGAGAGAGAGAGAGAGAGAGAGAGAGAGAGAATGGGGGAAGGAGGAATCAAACATGAGAATGTAAAAAACATGCTAACTGGAAATGCTATGGGCTTTTGGAACCTTAAGTACATGAGCCTATGTGGACCATTCTCATTCAAACTACTACAACATGTATTGGGGAAATCTGGGAGAAATTGGAGGACAGAAATAAGGGGCGAATATAATCAAATTACATGCATGCTATAAAAATATAGTTCAGTGTTATGAGATAAAATGGCAACTCATCATAAATAATTCAACTCCATTTCATAAAATTATATCTTCTTGTTTTTAATTAAGGAAAAATCCAAACTTGGGAGAATTGGGCCTGCGGTGGTAGACCTAATCCAAGGCTCTCCTCCATCATCTGTCCAGCATTTGTCCAGCCAAAGAGGCCGAAAGAGAAGCCTGGAGGATACGGACTCTGACGTGGAGTTTGTCTGCAAGACTAGGATTCTGAAGAGGACCGTGAAGGAGAAAGTGCAACCCCAGCAGCAGAGTTGTGCACCAGCTCTGCCGGGAAACGTCAAGCTTGTGGAGTCATCCCAGGCAAGTTCTTCTGCTTTTTCTTTTTTGCCCTCTTTATTCACAAAATGATTAATAATTTTCTTGTTCCAGAAATAGCATCTGGTAAAGGTTTGGCTCCACTTTCGCCTTTTTAGCTCACTCTAATTATGGGATGTACATTGCAACCTGTGTTTGCTGGATAGAGTCCCAGTTTCTATTTTCCCCCCTGAATTCTCTATTTTGGAAGAAAAGTTAGATTGTTAATATCAGAATTCAGCCAAGTGATGGTATCCCAAAGAATGCCTGGCTGGGAAAAGATCTTACATTTGTGATGTTAAAGCCACGTATTTTAGATCTTAAATATAGAGTTTAACTTAAATGTACACGTATGTAAAGCTAACATGAAATGAATGTGTTTACGTACTGTTTGTATGTACACAAACCCTTCTGTAGTTTTACATAGTATTTAAGCGTGTGTTTGTGTCCATCTGTTCTGTATAATCTTATTGTGGACGTTTCAGCATATGTACACGTGGGACTCCTCTGTCATCAAGCTTACAATAAAACTGTTTAATGCTTTGACAGACACATGTGAACCGCTGATGGTGGCAGTTGCTTACGTTTTTTTCCCCCCTATTATTCAGAGAGAGTTTTCCCATATTTCCCAGGATTCTCTCCCTCTTCAGTCTCCAGAGTAGCTGGAAGTAGACTTAGATGCTACTCTACCTAGCTTGTGGTTTGTAACATTTTTAAAATTCTATTTTTACTTTTATTCATGTGCATGCGTACTTGTCTGTGTAGATGTGTACCATATGGGCGTGGGAACCCGCGGGGTCTAGAAGACGATGTCAGATGCCCTGGAACTGGTGCTATGGGCTATTGTGAGCCATTGGTTGTGTGTGCTGGGAACCAAGCTCTGCTCCTGAACATGAGCAGTGAGGATTCCTAACTGCTCGGTCTCCTCTTCATATTCTGTATTAGCAGCTGTTTGTGACCCAAGAGCACCAGTGCTTACAATAAGGAGTTTAATTAAGAATTAAAAGATGTCTTTCCAGGGGGAAAATGTCCCTGTTTTTAGAATAACATGCAATTAAATTGGTAATGGCAGAGGCAGAGCATTTGGCCCACAGATGAATGCAAAGAATTTTAAGGCGACAAGCAATGGCGATGCAGAGCTGCAGAAAGGAGCAGGAGGATGGCCTGTATAGGAATCGTAGCCACGTGAAGTCCTGGAAGGCTTGAGGAAGGGGTTGCATTATCCTAAAAACAGCAAGAACCTAGTAGGGTTTTTACACATGGGAAAGTTGTGTGTCCAGATTTTCTTTCAGAAAGGCTTAGTCTGGCCTAGTACAGAAGAACAGTTAGAGAGTTGGTTAGAGAAGTCTCAGATTATGTTATCTCTTTGGCCACATGAAGATGGTTCAAGAGATAAGAAGCCCATAGAGCTGTAGACAGATGCAGGGCTCATCTCCCAAGTGGGAGATGCCTTGCTTTGTTTTGCTTATCATGCGTGTCCCATGTCCCACAGCATCTGATTAATGCCTCTGCTCAGTCTGACCTCCTCTGGAAAGATGTGGGATTCTTCTGCCAAACCGAAGCCCCGCACTTTGTTTCTCTGCATTGGTTGCTGGAGACACACGCTGCTGTGGGGTGCGGTGCAGAGTACTGAGGCTGGTTTTGCTCTTTCTCTTTATTTAAGTAGAGCAGTGTTCTATTCAATGGTTTCCTACACTGTGTACTGGTAGCAATACCAGATGGAATGGAAAGAGGTCCCTGTCTGAGACTGGTAACTGGTGCATGGATTCTATTCCAATGATTATGTTTAATAGAGTCAGTGTGAGCCAAGCAGTTCTGAGGCTGCTCTAGAGGAAAAATCATTAGAGTGTGGTCCAGAATGATGGTGGAAGTAGTTCCCATCTTGGTGATATATTAGGGGTACTGCGTGAGCAGAGAGATATGGCGATTGTCTGTGTGAGGGTATCAATCCCCTGGAACTGGAGTTTCCTTGCCAAGGAAAGGAGGCACATGTGTGAGTTTAGGTTTAGGGCTGAGGTCTGAAAAGGACTCATGAGCTTGTGAAGTGCTGACACATTTGAGCGTGAGTGGGGGGTGGGTGGGTGTGAAGGATCCATGAGAAGAAGGCAGACAGTTAAGGCTGGGACAGTGCTTGTACAGACTGAAGGACTTGCTAGTCCTATGAGAAGAGAAACTAGGAATGGGTTTCATCATTAAAGTCAAGTGGGGAATAAGGAGATTCAAAAAGAGCTGGGCAGGAGAGCTAAATTCTATAGGTCTGAAAAATGCTCTTTGACTTAACCAAACTTAGAGGCAGTAGGAATGAGATGGGGAAGACTCACTGCTGCTGCTGGTGTGGGGGGGGAGTGAAAGGGGCAGAAACCAGATTGGGACCCATTGGCAGATGGAGCATCATCAAATAGAGACAGCATGAAAGCTCAACTCTTGAAAACTAAGTTATTTTGATTTTGAAAGACATTGTATTTATGGAAATCAAACATGGGGTAGACAAATCAGGAGATCATTAAATTCTTCATAAGTATTTAAAGCAAAGGTAATTATTCTTTTCTATAAAATTGCTATGTGTTGTTAGTTGATCTTTACTGTAATTGCTTGAATGGTTTATTTCTTTGCATTTCTTGTTGCCTTTTCTTTTTTTATAGTCTGTGTGTATAGATCATCCTTAGTTTGTGATCCTTCTGCCTCTAGGTGCTGACCAATCACATATTTGAGTTTTCCCTGAATTACCCTGCAGTTAAACAGTCTCTATGAAATGCTTAAAGTGACTTAATGTATACCATTGGTTGATTCTAATTATTGCATAATTTTCGTTACTATTTTAGGTCTCTTCATGGGAAACAAAAAAGAGGCAGAGTGAAAACCTCATGCAGAGATACAAAGCATCCACTGACGATCAAACTGGCAGTAGCGATCCAGCCGTAATCCTGGTAAGACTAGCCTCACTGATGAATGGCACCTTAAGACACTCTCCTAGTCACAAGCATTGAAGAGTCTGGGTAGCTGAAACATACAGCTCAGTCACATGATGAGGGAGCATGTCCCAAGCCATTAGCTGTTACCTCTGGCTGCATGAAGTAGTAAATATATAACTAAACTCTAGCCTGTGACCCCTTTCTTCTTAGTTACCAGGCTGAGAGAACTTTGTCATATTTATAAATGTGTAAAAACTATACGTATAATTTGAAAAGCATTTCAGAGCCCTGTGTCCCAATCAAAATCATATGCAATTTTAAATGTGGACTCTTGTCAGAAATTTTAATTCTCTCTTGATGTTTTGGTCCTGATTATTTATTTACTGTTTGTCTGTCTGTCTATTTTGTGGTGCTAGGGGCCACTAAGTTACATTAGTCTCTGAAGTATAACTTTGGTATTTTTTTGTGGGTGTTTATATCTTGTTTATTTAGTATTCATATATGAATATATTTTCACCTGCTTTACCATTATTTCCCTCCCCTTCAATTCATCCACTATCCCCCCACCTTTTTCCCACATGAAATCATGTTTTTGTAATTCCCACTGAGTTTAATTTGTGTGACTGTATGTATATTGGCTGTAGGACCATACACTAGAGCATGGGTAGCCTTGCAAAAGCCTTATTACTGAAGATAAATAATTTTAATCTACATTAGCCATCAATAGCCAGTAGGTCTTCAGAGAAGGTGGAACTTCTTGAGTCCCTTTTCATCTACAGTGTGATTTTGACAGTTTGGTCTTTTATAAGTCTTCTGCATGAAGACTCACCCATTGGAAATTCATGTATGTAACGTTCTCTCCTGTCTGGCAAAAATTTCTTTGATGAAGACTCACTCTGACTCCTGGAATCCTTCTTACCACTCTTCTATAATAGTCCCTATGCATTGTGAAAAGAGGGCCTTATTTATATGTCCCATGTATACCTGAGCATTCACGTCCTCTTATTGACAGAATGAGTAGTGTGTATGCAGGAGAACTGTTCATGTGGGTGTGTACCTGTGTGTTTGTGTGTCTGCATACCTGTGTGTCAGAACAGGATCAAAAATTTAATTATATGAGGAGAATTCTCATTTATATGAGAAAACTCCAAGAAAAGAGTCTTGTGACCTCTGTTTCTTCAAAACCACAAAATTGTTCTTGGAATATGATTTTGTGGCATGTCCAGGACTAGCAAATAGAAGTGAGTTTATGAAGTATAATTTTGAATTGACTTAAATTAGGTGGCTCTTCGGGCAACACGAGCATGCCTCTCACTCACTCCACTGGATAATGCCTCGTTCTTCTGAGAGTTGGTATCAAACAGCCGTGTGTCTTGGCAACTGTGGAATCTCTTTGCCTTCACTAAGCCAAATGTGGCAAACCCTTGTTGTTCAGGATTGATTCTGAACAAGAACTGGCCAAGCTGTTGACTCTACCTGTGGAGCCCTGTTAAAGACACTGCCCATACGCTATATGGCATCCCTCTATATTCATGAATTGTTTAAATTTTACTTGGTCCAGAGGGGAACATACTTCATCTGACTTTATGTCTCTTCACGAGAACATTATTGAAGCAAGGCATACAACAGGAGTATAGGAAGCTTTTATTTAGAAAAAAAATATGGAAAATTTCAAATGGAACTCCATCAATACCCATGTGGCCCCCTTTTCCACCCTGAACTATGATCACCTTGGCCAGTCTATTTTCTTCTATTTGTGTCTAGTCCCTGCTACTTCGAGGCATCTCATCAAACACATTGCAACTGATATAATAAGTCATTAGAAAAGAGAAAGAAATCACATTGACAAAGATTAACTTATACATGGGGGCAGGAAAAAACAACAACAACAAAATAATCAAACCAAACCAAACCCCTTAACATCAGTGATAAGGATTACCAAAATCCAGACCATCTAGCAAGAAAACATTAAAGAATTTTCAAAGTTAGAAAAGAGGCAGAAGCTGAAAAGGAAGCTGAAAAAGAGCTCTCAGCAGCGTTTTAACCACAGACCTCTGTGACGCCCCGTTTGACACAGCTGCACCTGTGACTGTTAGGGGTCACCGCTTGTTTTGCAGAGACCTCAACGTCTTTATCAGCTTGTCATGGAGCTGTTACACCGTTGCCTTTCTAAACTTACATGTACGAGCTTTTAGTAAGTGCTTTTTCACAAATTAACTGTGATGTGTTTGTGTGGTCTGTTTGTCAAGTTCTGCTGTTTCATGGGTGTGGGCATGGTAGGTGTTTAATGTGTGATGCTGTGATCCTAGCAGGGTATTTGTTTCCAAATCATGTAACTAATTAATTTACATAATTCATCTGAGCAAGATGAACATTAATTTCTGTTTGGCCATAGGAGAAATAATTGAACTAAGAAATAATTACCTATGAACACTTCTCTGCCTGCACTTTCTTATAGTAAAAAACAAAAAGAAGATTTTTAACACCCAAGATCCTTCACGGTTATTTTTAGATTACTATGATTGTGTGTTAATGTGGTGTGTGTGTGTGTGTGTGTGTGAATGTGGTATGTATGTGTGTGGATGTGGTATGTGTGTGTGTGTGTGTGTGAATGTAGTATGTGTGTGTGTGTGAATGTGGCATGTATGTGTGTGGATGTGGTATATGTGCCCGTGTGTTTATGCCTCTTTCATTTGGATGCTCTGCTTGTTGACTGTAAAGGGGAAAAGTAGTCAGTGCTAATAGTGGTACAAGAAGTTGTTGCTTAAGGAAGGAAAATTAACTATGACACCAGAAACTCACCCTTCACCTACGATGTTATTATTTATTATTTTGATGAGCTTAGTTGAGTGTGGGCCTAGGGCCTTATTCCCATGTATAATAGACTCAGAGATGTGGTGTGTTCTGCTCACACAGAGAGTCCTTACCTGATGCTTTTCTCTGCTGTACTGTACTGGTTTCATGTTGTGTGGGGAACATTTTCATTCTGCTTAGCATACTTTTCCTTGGCTGTGTTGATAACGGTTACCCACCTGCCTTTAGAAAAGATGTGTGTTCAATCTTTTGATGAAAATGAATGGGGGCACTTCATTTTTCTCCTTTCTGACTTTGTCTGCCTCATTGGCTCTTGTATTGACAGTTGTCCAACTTCAAATAAAACACTGATAGCATCATTTGCCCCTCATATCCCCTTTTGATTTCACCGTTACTTATTATTTCAGCCATGAAATCATGTTTTCTCCCAAATCACCTTGCTGCTGCATCCCAGTATCCTAACAACATCATCTGTTATCCCCAGTTCTTCCTTTTTCCTGCCCCGAAATCTTTTTTTATTTCATTTAATTGAAAATGGATTTTCCCCCCACACAATCTATTCTGATTATAGTTTCCCGCCTCCCAACTCCTCCCCATTCCTCCCCTTCCATCTAGGTCCACACCCTTTCTCTCTCTAGATAGGAAACAAACAGGCATCTAAGGAATAATAAGACAAAACACAAAGAAACTGGAATACTACTAAATAAACCAACAGGAGAAGAAGAACCAAAGAAAAAGTATGGGAACACAGGTATGTGTAGAGACACACACATTTGCACACAAAGGAATCCCTTTAAAAACATAAAAACAGAAGCCATGATGTCTACACAAAGGATCTGTAAGGTTAAAAGAAGCTCAACCACGACATTGTGAGACAAAGAACTTATAAAGGTGATGCGAGTCTGTTTGGTGTGGGTCATCTACTGCTGGCCATGGCCCTGATCTGAGGAGGGATTTTCACTGTCCTCCTTCTCTTATGCTATCTGTGTGTCACGTGGAACATGCTCCCAAGGTCTTGGGCTCATTGCCTTGCTTGCAGGGGCTTCGGCTTCGGGCTGTGTAGACTGTCATTACTACCACAGCACTTTTTGAGTTTTGACATTAATTTTTACTTGGCCTCTCAGACATTGTACGCCATTCATTTTCTGAGACCATGCAATGAACACGTTCTTTGTTCGACCTTGCACATCATTCAGAACTGTGGAAGTTTCCAACCGGGACTCAGTAAGCTTAACACACTTTTCTAGACACAAAAAGACTTGCCTTGAAGATAATAAAATGAAAAATTTTCCAAAAAGCATCTTGATCTTCTTCCATATGCGCTAGTTAGCCTCCCAGTCAGATCGGTGCGGGACCCTTCATCCAAAGTTCACCAAAATTCTCTCATTATTCTCCACAATTCTGTTTAGCATGGGAATCATCATCCAACAACCTAGGGAAACTAGTGTGGTCCAGATTTATCATCTCTGTCCCTGTTAAGATGAACTGTTCGCACATTTTGGTGTGTGCGTGTGCGTGTGCGTGTATGTGTGTGTGTGGTGTGTCAAGGCATGTGGGTGGTAGATCTCAGTGTGAGTGCACAGGAGTATTTTACTGAATCAGTTCCCTTTTCTGTGTGGCCAGGATGAAATCTGATGGATGTTCTTCCCTGTGTCACTTCACCTAACCTTGATAGCCTGAGGAGGAGTCTTTTCATTCCCGCTTCACAGATGAGGAAAATAAAAGGTCTCTCATAGTCACACTGCGGGAGGTGGCCACACTGAGCCCCAGCTGTCCAACCACAGCTCCTTCTTCTTGAAGGGCTCTTTGTGACATTTTCTTTTATCTGTCATCACTAACCGCGGTAACTGATTAGTTGTCACATCAGCCTCTTCCACTTAGATCACCTGAGATATGCCAGTCTTCTTCACTTAAACTTGAGAATTCCAAGAAATGTAGTGTATTTGTTGAAATGGAGGAATTTTAGGCTAGATGGCTTTCAGGGTTGTAGAGATGAACATCTATGGGCCAGAGTCTTTAATTGACTTTAAGAACCAAAACCATCTAAAGCTATATGCAATATAGTTATATAATATAACTAAATATACATACATACATACATACATACACACACCCCAAGATGAAACTTGCCATTGGTATCAACATGCATAGAACTGAAACATTAAATTATATGAATTTAATGAAATTAAATGAAACACACA